ATTCTGAATTTGAAGAACCACATAAAATCTTGAGTGTAAGCTTTATCTTCTTCTAGTACTGATACAACTATCACTTCCTGAGTGACAGCTCAGGAAGTATGTTTGAGGGTCACTAACACCAAGCACTACATCCTGCAATAAACCCATGCAGCACCACAGGCTTGGGAAAGACTGGCTGAAAATCTGCCCAGTGGAAAAGGACGCTCAGGAAGTATGTTTGAGGGTCACTAACACCAAGCACTACATCCTGCACTTGGGTCACAATAAACCACAGGCTTTGGAAAGACTGGCTGAAAATCTGCCCATTGGGCATGCTGGTCAACAGCTGGCTGAACATGAGGCAGTGTGTGTCCAGATGGTCAAGAAGCCCAAAGGTATTCTGGCTAGTAGTAAAACAAGAGTTCCCAGCAGGACAAGAGCTGTGATTGTCCCACTGCACTTGGCACTGGTGAGGCCACACCTCGAATCGTGTGTCCACTTCTCGCCCCCTCAGTTCAGGAAGGACATTGAGGTGCTGGACATGTCCAGAGAAGGGCAACACAGCTGGTGAAGGGTCTAAAGAATAAGTCATATGTTGAATGGCTGAGGGAGCTGGGGAGTATTAAGTCTGGAAAAAAGGAGGCTCAGGGATGATGTTACTGCCCTGTACAACTCCCTGAAAGGAGGCTGTAGCCAGGTGGGGGTTGGCCTCCTCCCAAGCAACAAATGACAGGACAAGAGAACATAACCTCAGGCTGTGCAGGGAGGTTCAGGTTGGACATCAGGCAGAATTTCTCCATGGAAAGTGTTGATAAGCATTGGAATGGAGTGCCCAGTGAGGTGGTGGATTCACCACCCTCAGAGATGTTCAAGAAGCATCTCATTGTAGCACTTAGTGCTATGGTCTAGTTCACAAGATGCTGATAGGTCACACGCTGGACTTGATGATCTTGGAGGTCTTTTTCAACCTAAGTAACTCCATGATTCTCATATTCACAATTTAGTATAAAGGAAGAAATGAGAGCATTCTTAACAAAACAAGTAAGATTAGGCTGATAAAACCCTAAAGACCACACCTCTCATTTTACTGGGGATTATGCCAATCAAAAACACAAGCTAATGTTTAAGAAATCCGAGGTATATGCATACATGAGAATGGAAGCATAGTTTTCTGTATGGGAAATGAATCATCTGTTTATACAAGCTTTATGATACTCTATTGGATTGGGAGCACACTGGTATAACAAGTTAGACAACTATTTGCAGGTTGTTTCCATATATGAAAATCTATCAATAAGTTACATTGCCAAAGAACAAGTTTAGAATTCTATTTTTTTTTAAAATCCACTGCAAAGTGTAGTAATCACATGCCCTCTGAACAGAGAGAAGTTGTGAGACAAGCAGAGAAGGAAAACATAATTCTTATCTCGCTTGTTGTGCTAAGGTGGAATGCAAAATTGAGATTGTTTAACTGAAGTGAGGATGTTTTGTTCCCTTGGCCTATCAGGGCCAAATGTGTGTGTGAGTCCAGACTGTCACAAGACAGTCACGAGAGAATCAAGATGAGTTCGGGCCAAATGTGTGTGTGAGTCCAGACTGTCACAAGACAGTCATGAGAGAATCAAGATGAGTGCAGTTTTGTGCAGTTGTGAGCAGAGGTGAGTGCAAGGCAGATACATTTTAGATGCAATGTATATAATATAGAATAATAAAGTCAATATTTAGCCTTCTGATAAGACAGTCCTCCTCCTCATCATTTTCTCTCCCTCACACACATCTGAGTCACCCCTGCAGTAATAGCAAAGAAAATATTAATTTGACTTATAGGACACCTGCTCACAAAATTACTTCAAAACAGTTATTTCTAAATATCTTTCTGTTGGTCTTTTATTTTATATATTTTGGTTTTTTAATCCTGTATACATGTGTGTTTGCCCTTTAGGCACATCTTTAATGCTTAGTTCTTCCCAGCATCTTCTTCACACAAAAGTATTTAGGTGATGTTTCAAGTGAACTAACTATGAAAGGTAATATTGTGCCTTGAACAAGAGAATTAAGAAATACAGATCATCAGACTTCAAAATTCAATTATTTTAAGCATACAGTAGCAAACCAGAGGAACATATGCTCCTTGCATATATGTTTATATGTTTTATCAGAGTATCTTTATACCAATTATTTCATGTAAAACCATCTATCAACTATGCAACATGAACAGTATCTTAAATTGTGTGTTCTTCATTGCAATTTCTCTGTGTAGATCCATTGACTGATTGACTACATAATTAACATTATCCACAAGAAAGAAAAAACCTTTATCTCAATAAAACTTGCTGTACATTACTGTAGAAACAAGATGCAGGTGAACACATGCCTTAAACTAATCCTTTTAAATTCTTTTACTGTTCTTTTCAAGGGATGTTGTGCCTCTTCACTTTTACAAATACTAGTTCTTAAAAATGAGTTACAGTAACTTACCACAGAAGTCTGCCTCCAGGCCTCTCAGCAAAAGGCTAAAGCTTCAACCAACTAGCAGCACTAAAATGTGAAAGGAAAGGCAATTAAAACCAGGAATTGTTATTCCCATAGATCAATCAAAGTAAGAGGTTTGAGGAACTACAGTTCCTCTTAAAATAAATAACCTGCCCAACAGTTTTATGTGTCTATGATAGCAGCACTGTAAGGATTACTCAAGGTTAACTCAGAGACTTTATTAGAGAATAATACATACTAAATATCATAAAAGTCCAGCAAGTAAAGCCCTTTAAGATTTTAAGAAAGAAGACCTGATTACTGATTTGTCTTATTAATTTTTTTTAATAAGGTGACAGTGAATTAGAGTAAGTAAATCAAAATCAGTAGTTCCCAATGTTGTTTATGCTCTAACTAACCTGTGCATCCTTACACAGCTAAAGGACGACAAAGAAGTCCATGAAATCAGTATTCCACAGTGGTCCAGCACATCTCAGTATAAACAACAACATTTTGAAACCAACAATCACAAAATTGCACTTTACTGTAGCCCAGAAGTATTTCAAACCTTCCTGTATGCAAACCAAGTGCTCTCCAGTCAGCTGCCCTCCAGTTCTGTGTCACAGCAGCTACTTGCACTCAGCATTCCCTGTGCCTGGAAGGTGTCATTCATGCTCATATCCACAGGCAGTGGCTCCTAACACAGGCACACAGAAATAATGCTAATCCTGGAACCATCAGATAATTACACACATGCTAATCACCTGCCATGAGGAATTTTTTTAAACCCTCCTGGGTAGAGGAAGTACCAGAAGCAAACTTCCATAACTAGAACTAATTCAGCTGCCTCCTAAGGGGGTGTTTGATAAAGCACTGAGTGAAAGTGCACTTGATCCATCTACAAGATGGAATGGATCTAAAGGATATAGTCCTCCTTCAATCAGAGAACAAAGCACGATTCAAATCAGTAATGACTATTCCTTAAACAGAAGCTTGGGTCCAGCAACCAAGCCCCTAAAATTCCTCTATTCATAAATCCTTCAGACACTTAATAATGCCCTTTCAAAATGTCTGAGCAAAAGCATCTCATCTAAAGCAATATTAAAGATAAACCAAAGAAATCAAATAGAATCAGAGTTGATGGAAAAGACCTTTAAGATTATATAAAAACCACAACACAATTCTACTTCCTGCCTACTTGCTTGCACAAGCCATACCACACCTTCAAATGTCATGCTAGGAGGGGCCAGTATTAATCTTTGCCTAACTGATCTATGAGCAGAAGTAATATTCTTGGGTTTAACAGGAACTAATATCTACAAATACTAAGCTGATCATATATTACTTATGTTCAAAGAGCATCCTGACTTTCACAGGAAAATGCAAAAAAATAAAAGGTATCTTACTCCCTTTATCCCTGAAGGTATTTCATTTAGGAAACCATGTAATGATAGCATTTGTTCCTAAATCAAATTAAGATAAAAAAAAAAAAGATTAATTCCATCCCAGATATGTGTACAGTTGAGATTTTAGTTTTATTACCCCTAACACTATGGCTTCCCTTTAGCATTGAATTCTGGAGAAAAAATTGGCATAAAAGAAGACTGTATGAACACTGTAGTATCAATTCTACTACTTTGGATTTCTGGATGACATTTAATAATAGCTTAGTACTCAGCCTACAAGAAATACCTTTTCGCTTTTGTTACCGAAATGAAATTAGTCCAACAGTCACCTACAACGAATCTGTATAGTTTAATTTTAAGACATTTAGCACAAACATACTTGTTGTAAAAACATTGCATTCTTCCTAACACCACAACAGATAAACAAAAGGACCTGTGTCTCTTACTCCCTTAACATCTTTCCTAGGTTTTTTTTTTTCCTTCTAATGCTTTTGGGTATTCTGTATGCACTTCAAAACATCTTTCCTCTGTGAGTATGCACATATAAAGTTAAAATTTACAGCTTCTACTAAGAAGAAGAAAAAAAAAAAAGAAGAGGAAGAAGAAAAAGAAGAAAAGAATAAAAGAATACCTGGGATTAAGTTTGACTGTATTTACTTTTACGAAACAAACGTTTTGCACCACCACAGAAATATCTTCAACTCGAAACTTCGAAACTTTAGGGACATAACCCTCCAGGAAAATAAATATAAGTGTTGGAGGCAGGGCAATACATATTACTTTGAGGACACTTAATGTACTTTGAAGATAGGAGTATGTAAGCAAAAGTGAAGAGGTTTCAATTTTAAAACTTTTCCCTAGTGGAAGAGTAAGTTATGACAACATGAATATTATCTAAGATTTGTCTTGTATATATTATGCAACTACAGTGAAGAAAGAAAACAACCACCCACTCAACCAGCAGCTCAGAAAGAACAGCATGCGGTTTTCAGGAACGATGCTGACCCTCGAAAGCCTCCTCTCCCAGGGGTAAGGGCGCTTTTCAGAGCGGCATTTACACCGCCACAGAGATCGGCACTACGGCTCAAACCTTCAGGCCTCCAGCTTTAACTTCGCCGAGTTCCACTACCTGCGGGACGGCGGATGGGGCAGCGATCCCTCGATCCCCGCAGCTGGCAGCGCGCTCCGCGTCCCCCCGCAGCAGCGGGGCCGCAGCTGCGGGGGCGTTTACACGGGGAAGCGGTGGGACAGCAGCCGCCCGGAGCCCTGCCCTGCCGCCCCAGCCCCGCACGGGTCCCGCTGCACGAGGCAGAGCACCCACGGGCTCAATCCCCGCGGGACGCGGCGGCCCCGGCGGCGCGGCCGGGCCCCACCCTCACCTGCAGCGCGGCCTCCGGACCCCGACCCGCGGCGGCCGGGCTGGCGCGGCCCTTCCGCCGCTGCCCCGCCGGCCTGGGGACAGCGCTCCGGCGAGAGGCGACGGGCGGCCCCTGCGGCCGGGGGCGGCCGGGGACTCAGGTAGCCGGGTGCCGCTCGCTGCGGGGAGAGTGGGCGCTTCTAGGGACTGCTTGGAATGCGCTGCCCGGGGGGGCTGGGGAGTCCCCGAGCCTAGAGGTGTTTAAGGGAAGACTGGACGTGGCGCTTCGTGCCGTGCTGTGTTTGACGCGGTGGGGTTCGGGCACAGGTGGGACTCGGTGATCTCAGAGGCCTCTTCCAAGCTCATTGACTCCGATTCCCACGGGTGCGGCCGCCGCTCGCCCCCGCGGAGCCGTTCGGCCGGCGTGAGGGAGGCGGCTGGAGGCGGAGAACCGCGGGGCGTAGCGAGGGACTGGTTGGTTTGTTTGTTTATGTGAAAACCGAGCCCTGGGCTCGTTTGAACAGTACGCATTTGATTTCTGCTTCAAACCTTGTGTTTGCTTCGTACTTAAGGTTTATGTCCAGTCTAGTGCTCTGTTCGTGTTTTCAGGAGTAATCGTGTGCTTCTGTTGAATGTACTTCAAATCTTCGCTTTTTGAAGTAGTATTTTGATTTATGAGGATTTTTTAACATTTTTAAGTAATTTTTTTCCTCAAAATCTGAAATATAACCGGTGATACAGACAAGAAAAACCTTGTTAAACTCGGAGTGATAATGTTCATTAATACCTATCTTATGATCCTACACAGGTGCTTAAAAAAAGCCTTCAGAGAGGAGTTGTGCTTTCAACAGGGTCCTTTTTGGTTTATGAAGCTCATAAGCTGATTTCTGGCTTTGCTGAGGTTCATGCAAGCTTCAAAGGTAATATTTTCAAATTTTGAAGTATTTTGGTTATCCTGATGTGATACTTAATTTTTTTTTACCAGAATTATAGAGGAAAATGGTGTAATGCTTGTGATTTTTTTCCATTAGGACTGCATGCAGTGTTATTTCATGACAGGATGCTTATTAATTGGTTATAGGTTATGTGGTGGCACTTCAACAAGTGATTATTTCAGGTATAACTGAAAACAGATTAGTAGCTCATCCTGTCAGGGATGGAACACTTGCACAAGGTGGATAATAACTAATTTGTTGCTCAATCTTTAATTACTCTTATTTACTCTTACTTTAATTATCTCTTATTGAAAAGATATAGGTCTGTTAGGAATGCAGACCAAAACATAATCTATTTCTAGAAATTTTAGCTAGTTGAGGCTTTCAGTGTGAACACTCTGTGATTTCTGTTTGATCTAGTTGAGCAACACCAAGATGGCTCTTCATATAAAATTGAGAAATGTCTTCTATCTCTCTAACACTAAAAAGCAGGAAGCAAAGTCTTGCTTTACGTACTAGAAAACAATTTAACAAGTGGTAAAATGGTTTTTTGTATATTTTGAGTAAAAATAGACTCACCTGGGAAGGACAGTTACAATATCTTAAAAGGGGATATTGTTGCAGACTTAAAATTTGTCTGTCTAAATGAGGAATTTCAGAGTAAGCCTGTCTGAAAGGAGAACGAGCCTAAACTGAATGCATGCTCACTGCATAGTTGAGGTACTAGGCAGTTCAGGTAACCTGTTTCCCTGTGTCTTAAAAAGAGGAAGATCTTAGATGTTTATGCAGATATAAATAAAAATTCAGATAATAAATTTTTGAATGGACAAGGAACTGTTTCATGTGCAGAAGGAGTATCAGTGAGTAGATTTGAAATAGCTACTCAACAGCTACACAATTAATAAATAATAATGAGGAATAAAGAATTCATTATTTCTCATGAGGAACATAAATAACACTGCTTAGTTGGTCTATTCAGTGCTCCCACGTGAATCTGACATTTACATTGCCAAGAAACACAATGCTATTGGGCTTTCTATACAAGATATGTAATAAATATGGTGAAAATAAGGGTAAAATAGAAATACCTGAAAAATATTCTAAAGCAATAAAAGTATAATAATTTGCATTAAACACCTTGTGGGAAATGCATTCAGAAGTTTTAAGTTCTGAGCATTTAGTCATTAGATATGTTAGTAGTGTTCAGGTCAGCAAGCAAACCTGCCTGTTTAGTGAAGATCATAATGAAAATGCACCATGAAACTCATTTTGGACACTAAAATCCGAAGTCCACATAAACCATTATCCTATCTTTGAAAAGGTTGAAAGAAGACATTTAGAGACAGCAAGGTTAAAAATTATCCAGAATGCATTGATTTGTATTCTAGGATCTTTGAAACTGAAGAGGAAGCTTTTGTGTTCAGCAGCCTTCAATGTTTTGCTTTTTCTGTCAAGAAAACTGTGCTGACTTTAAATATGGCTGCCATGTTTAGTAGGTAATTTGAAAAAGGAAAACATGATTAACCATTATGAAAGGGGTTAGAGCTTATGTTTTGACTTCTAAATTTGGTCATGGATCCAAGAGTAATACCAAAGAGACCATAAGCATAGGTAAAAGATCTGGAAAAAATTAGACAAGGCTTTTGATTTCCAAGATATCTGTTTAATGCCTTGATGTTGGCAGAAGAATAAACTTGAAGTTTGTTCTGCTGTACAGTTACATACATCAACAAAACTACCCTTCTGTTTCCCTTTGGGTATTTTTCCTTCTAATTCTATACTTTTTCATGCTATAATCCTCTATAGTGTGGTGTTTGATAATTCTGTTTCCTGTATGCTGTTCCAAGTACTATATTTATTTTTATATTATTTATAATTATATTAATCCAGTTGTGGAAATTATATTCCCCCACCAACTGTTGGGTTTAAGAGTATTTTCTAGAAAAATAAAGCATAAGAATAATGGTAGTTAATTCATAAACTGATATTCTAGAAAGCCAATTCTGATTTTTAAAATTATTTTTGCTTTTAGTATCTTGAACACACAGGAGTTTCAGTAGATTGTCTGTCTTGGGGTTCTGTTTGGGAAAATCCTAAGGACTTCAGCCAGAAACCCCTTAAGCAATATTTTGTTTTGGCTTGTGAGTAAATAATGGGAGCCACTCAAACTGCAGTAATGTTCTGGCTAAACTGTGGAACCATATTGAGAATGAACCATATTTTTTTAAGTTTTTTCATTGTTATTGTAAGATTTAAATTCTTTACATATACTAATGAAGGGGCTTTGTTACTCTCAACTCTATACTGCATTTGCACTCTTCTTCCATTTCTCATATTTTTTTTCTTTTCTGCCATTTTCACAAGTTATTTTTTAACTTATTTCTAGTAGTGTGATGCACTGAGAAAGACACCTTGGGATGTTAAATTTGTCCATCAGCCAAATGTCATGCTGAAAGCTGTCAGCTGTCATGCTGAAAGCTGTTGTAGTCTCACTAGAGAGGCACCAGTGTGTCATCTTCATTGTGCATTGTACATGTTGCTTACTCCATCTTGCTGTGCTTGTTTGAAATGATGGCTTAAAAATGAGCTACATCATTTTCAGCTAGGTTGTCTTGCTCTAGAATGTTTTGGTGATAATGTCTTAATTAACTATCATTTGTTCTTCTGTTTCCACAATTTTAATTCCTTCATAAGTGGAAGATGTGATAGAACAAGCAGACTACCTGTATGGGAGTGGAGAAACCGAAAAGCTGTATCGGTTGCTGGTTCAGCATAAAAACAGGTATTTGGAACATTATTGTGGCTTCTTTTCTGTGCTCTTCTGTATCAGTTTTTCAATTGATATTCTCATTGTGGAATGCTGGAGAACCTATTTTTCACCCTTATGTAAGTAGGAAATAAGGACTCATGATATTTTTCATCCTAATGGAAAAATGAATAAAGAAAGAACTGATAGTTGTAGGTGAGGGTTAACCCTCGTTTTTCAGTCATGGTTGTTTGTTTCATTACTCTCAGAATCCCTTAAAATACAGTACAACTTTCTGAAAGACTATAAAGCCTCTATTAAATTAGTAAGCCAGTGGTAGTTATCTAAAGTATAATGAAGTGTAAGCAGTGTTCCAAAGCAGTATATTAACAAAATGAAACTTAAGATCCTTAAATTTGAACTGTAACCTACACTATACCATTTGGTAAAATAATATCAATACATACATAAATGTACAGGTTTATGTGCTGGTGGTATGGCTAATCTGTGGTTTTTTCACTGTTTTCTAGGAAGAATTTAATAATTTAAGTACAATTAGAGGAAAAAAAAATGCATAATAGTTTAAGCATTCCAAGTAAACATTAATGCAAATCAGCAGTGATGGAAAAAATACCGTCTAACGAAGAAGAGAATACCTCTCCTTTTCCTTCTGCTGTTTTGAGTGGTACCATTGGGGTTTCTTAAATATCTTTTTTTTACAAAAACACAAACCTTTCCTGCAGATGTGTTTGCTTTGCAGACCAGAATGGCAGAACAAAGGTATTATCAAACAATCTATAATAGTGAGCTTTCATTTGCCGTTTGTTACCTTGGAGTTTTACATAGCCTAGCATGATAGATGATTCACTGTTGTCCTATCACCCACTTCAGATATACTTTAGAAGACTCCTTTTTTGCTGTGTTTCCCTGATTGCTTTAAAACATCAGTGTTTCTGTTCCTAACCAGCGATGATGCAGAGTTGTTATGGCGGCTGGCACGGTCATCACGGGATCTGGCTCAGCTCGGCAGTACTTCTGCAGAGGAGAAGAAACAACTGACATATGACTCCCTGGAGTACGCAAAAAAGGCACTTGAAAAAAATGAATCAAATTTTGCAGCACACAAGGTGAGCCATGCAAAATAACTGAAATCTTGTTTGTTGATTTCTGCTTACAGAAAACAGAACAAATGTCATTGTGCTGTTTTAAGAACCTTCAGCATAATTTAACTTTTCAGTTGAGAAGGAATGAGACTTCTAATTCTTCCTGAAGTTTTTGGAAGATCTGAGTTCAGACTTTTCCCGGTAAACTCCCGCTAGGGAAGCAGAAACATTCAGTGTGTGCAGGACCATGGAAAGAAGTGACTGATCAGGGTGATAACAGCTGATGTGATCAGCCCCTCCTGCCCCAGTGTCGCCTTAAAAATGTTGTATGTCCCACATTCAGCATGCCTTTTCTGGGCTCTGTAGAGTTTCACTGGAAATATTTCAGACCCTGGCTGCCTTCTGCCCCCCTTTTTTTTTTTTTTTTTTCTTTTTTTGTGTGCTGCTTTTCTCACAGGCAAAGAGGTAGCAAAATGTAGTCACTTGCCTTGGTATCTTGGATCTTGATTCCCGTTACACATGTAGAGTAGCAGCTTGCTTTGATGTTGATCGAGCTGTTCACAACAATTACTTACTGCTTTGCCAAAACCTACCAGAACCCAGGCTAGCTCTGTACGCTCCAGTAGCCACGACAGGAGTGGGTGACAGCTGGGGACTGGGGTTTGCCCACAGCTGAACTTAAAGAGCTGCAAGCTCTACAGTTCATGGCAGGGACCAGAAGAAGGAGGAGGCTCTTTGTCTTGAGGTTCCACGGGGAAAGTTTATTCCAGGTGGAGGGAGCGTTTATTCCAAGTGGAGGGAGTGGGACAAAAAGAGCGCCTCACCCACCTATGCAAGGCGTTTATGTTCAGATACAAGTCAGGGGGGTGGATATAATCAGATAACCAATAGGAAATCCTTGGGGGAGGAGTGAGGGGATTCCATAAACATTGGGACCAATCAGGATACAGGGAGGAAAGGGGGAAAGGTCAATGGGCCAATGGGGATTAGGGGATTTCTAAGTGGGTGTTTCAATCAGAGATTGGCTCGGGGTGAGTGGCAGGGAACATTTAGGAAAAAGGGGCACGGTTGTCTTGACAGGCAGGGAAGGGACTAGAACAAAGGGAGGGGAATAGCTTGAGGGACAGCTTTAAGGGAGGGTACAACTTAGGGAAAAACCAACTTGGGGAAAACATGGGGGGACAACTGAATGAACCATTTAACAATAACTTAATGAAATAAACACGAACTGCCACACTACTTGTGGTTGCTTGCGGTGGTGGCGGCTCTTCTGGTTGCAAGTTTTTTAAAATGTACTGTTAATATAGTGCTGTATTAAATGGTTTTTTTGTTATTTGAATTACAGTGGTATGGAATTTGCCTCAGTGATGTTGGGGACTATGAAGGAATCAAGACTAAAATTGGAAATGCTATTATCATCAAAGAGCATTTCCAGGTAATACGCTTTCTGCATATGACAAGATTATTGTGTCCAGTATGTAGATTGTGTGACAGCTGGTAACTAACTTTTGGTGAAATATTGAAAGTGTACTTCTGTTCAGACTTCCTAGTAGCACTGGGTTTGTTTTTTGGGTTACTGTGACATATGCTCCAGAAATGCCCCAGAAACACAGAGTACATTCTCTCCTGCAGTAAACAAAGTCACTTCAGAAGGGAGTCTTGAAATAGCTAAAGTGCTTTAGACACTCTTAGGACTAGATCGAGTTGTAACTGTGATATTGAGAAATGGCAGTGTGGCTGTCCTTTTAACTGTGGATTATATAACAGTAAAGGACAAATACTGGAGAAGATGAAGAACTCCTAATTTTATATCACCAGAGATTATATCAAAAACTGAACATGCCAAGTCTCAAATGCAACATTTAATAACCTACTAAAGAGACGTGCTTAGACATCTGTCAGTGTCATCAGACTTTTGGAAGTGAGCTGATTAAGTTGTGCACTGAACAAGTAGTGTGTTGCCTTGAAATTCTACACACCACCGTCTGGTTTAATTAACAGTATGATAACAAGTCTATTTTTAAATATATTTTAATCCATGTGTCAGAATAACTTCTTTACATATTGTGGTTTTTTTCTTCCCGCACCAGAGAGCCATTGAACTGAATCCGAAAGATGCTACAACAATTCATCTTATAGGGATTTGGTAAGATGTATTTTCAAACTAAAGTTAGCACATGGCACAGAAAAATGCAAGAGTATAAAATATCTTGCATTAATTACAGAACTGCTTGGAATTATTTAGAGTGTACTTGTAATTGATGCAAGCACAGAAACATGTTGAACAGGTATAGGATGTCATGCCTTGAAAAAGTCTAGCTATTAATTCTTATGCAGTTATAAAAGATGAAAAATAATTGTTCATTTAATTTAGTTGTATGGAACTGTTAAAAACTCCTTTTGCAGATGTTAAGTTTGCTTCATGGAATGCATAGTGGGCATCAGTGATCACAAGCAGTAGCTCATGTTTTTCCGGAGTGTGAATGGAGTCAAAACTCAGCACTGACTTTACAATGAATTTCAGTGATGGCTGCAACTTAACACAGTCCCTGAAAAACTATCAAAAATGAGATGTATTCTGAAAATATTTTTGTTACTATCTGTCAGGGTACAGTATTTTTAAAGTTACATTAAATAAAGGGAGCTTATAAATGCATATGTATTAACTAGAAACCATTGAAATTGAATTTACTGCTCAATGAAAATGATACTAAGAATTACTGTTACATAGCAGGCAAATGGACTGGAAATAGAACTTTCCATACTAACCAGGGTATTCTATGCAAGTGGTGAGATGGAAAGCATTATCATTTATGTGCTAGGGAGAGACTCCAGACAGCATTTTAGGTTATTTGTCTGAAAAGGTTAAAGGTGTTACGTTGTTTTACCGGAGATCTCTGTTGTAAGATTGAGAGACTGGAAATAAAGAAAGGCAATGTATTATCAGCTTTAAAAAATACTAAAACCCACAGTGAATTTTTCTATGGGTTTTTTTTGCATCATGAGTTTCAGAGAAAATGATAATGATAAATGCTCCAGAGTTTTTTACTAGTTCAGAAACTTTGGCATCCACCATTCATTCCCACATGATCTAACAATTGCAGTAGTCCAGATTTTTAAGCAGAGGTATATGCTACCAACTAAATAAGCCTCAAAGTCATCTTTGAGATAGGAGACTTCTTCTGGAAAATACTTCAGACATTCTTCCCAAGGAAAATTGGAAAATATTATCAGAAATGTTAGATTAATACTGCTTTTGGCTCTAAAATATTCCCATGTTATATACTTAAATGTACTCATTACTGAATTCCAGAGCCATCTTGATCTGGCATTTAGTAGAACTCAGAACTCAGCCAGTTCTTGAGTATTTTTCTCTTTTCTTTTTCTAATCTGTTCTGGACTAAATCTTTATCTCATAAGGTGCATCTAACGAATCTAATGACGGAATTTCAACTCCAGCAGTGTATTCCATGTCTTGCCTGCCTCTCCTCCAAACATTTAGAGTTACTAGTTTTTCACCTCCTCTAGAATTCTCTATTTTACACTGTGAATAACAATTGTAATCTCATTGTGGGAGGCTGCTAAATTGAAAATCGTTGTTTAATGTTTGCACCCAGAATGTTCTCTGCACTTGAAATGCTTCAATAAAAAATTTCAATCTTTTCAGCACCAATAAGATAAGATACGTGACTGATTGATTACCTGTGTTATTTAGTAGATAGAAAACCAGCATAGCATGGCTTAGCCTAGAGCACAGTGGTTTGATTCTTGAATTTATTTTCATTCTTATAGATCAGAGTCTCAGGACAGTACTGCAGATCTACTTTATATTAATAATTGAGAAAAGCAAGGTAGTGTTGAGGTAAGGCAATGATATTATTCAGTTGTGTTGCTTTTGCAAATATATTTGAACAAAATACACATAAATCATTAAAATCATTCAAGCTCAAAATCTGTCTCATGCTTAGTAATTGTCCCAGTTTTAGCTAACGTAGTTAGTTCCCAGTAAAGCACACACCAAAACTTCTTTAGTAGCAGCTTCAGACATCTTGCTATTTTTGTTTGCAGGTGTAAGAACATGCTTATAGAACTTGCAGTGTGTCTGCAGTTTTGACTCTTGGAATCAACAATTACAACATCCAGTTTTTATGTCCAACAACAATTGTGAGACTGCTTGAAAACAAGTGAAACGTGAAGGGTAGATGTAAAAGTTTCTTTTTCCTTCAGGTGTTACTCTTTTGCTGAGATGCCATGGTACCAAAGAAAAATAGCTGCAACACTGTTTGCCACACCGCCAACTTCCACTTTCCAAGAGGTACAGTATGAAAATATTTCATAGATTGTTATTCCCCCCCCCCAAAGCTGATGATACATTTTGTACTTATTTTCCTGACAAAGCTACATCTGACTATGGAATAAGCATGGAGTTGTGAGTTTACAATTGTCAATAATAAAATGAGAACATGAGAGTGATAGGTATCTAAAACATAAAAACCTTTAATTTTCTTCAGCTGTAGCACACACACAGAGAATAGTAAATTATTTTGGTAGTTTTTGCATGAGAAAATAATAAACTGTATGTAACTTAGCTTGCATTTACTGTTGTGCTCTGTTGCAGATAACTGTACTGGTCCAGTGCTGATGATTTATATGGTGGTGTTATGCCATGTACCTATTTGCTAGTTGGTAGAATTTGTCCCCTTATATTAAATGCTAAAAGCAACAGCTCACTTTGTTACTTAAGATGAACAAATACCCTTTAATTCTCTGGCCACATATAGCGTGGGTTTTTTTCAATTGAAAGTACTTTTGGTCCTCTTTCCTGTGAAGATTCCTGCTGTCATACACCCTAAAACATACTAGCCAGATGTTAATCCTTTAAAATAGTGTGTCTGAACCAGTGTGCACCTTATTTAAACACCCGTACATATATAGAAGCTTGACAATTAAATTGGTAATAGAAATGTTTGGTGCAGCTGTTTTAATCCTTGTTTGTTTAGAGCAAGCAATAACTGTTTTGTTCTCTTAAATGGGGGGAAGGCAGGCTGCTTGCTGTTACACAGAAAACAAATTAAGAGCTGTTCAAAAAAGAAATAAAACTCTTTAATGGAATGTCAAGCTTGTACGTTTTCCTGAAAAACCACTCTCAGAAGAATAGAAAGTGTCAGCCAGGATTTCAAATGCTGCCAGAATAATGCCAGTCCCAGTATTCAGTTGTGTAGCACTTAAACTCGCTGAAGAAGCAAACTTGTACTGGTAAGATTTCTGCAGTTGCAGTACAAAAACTGTTTTATAGATACATCCATACTTTCAAGTTCTGTGAGAGCTTTTTCCCTCCCCCTACTACCATTAGGGAAAGGTAGGGATGGACTGACATTTTGTGTGCTGGATGGGAAACTTATTGAAAATGTGTGGATATCATAGATGTTTAGCCTTATGTAAGAGAGGTTATGGACTGGTGCCGTGTGGAAGTCAGTTTTCTCTCAAATGTTTATTAATGACCTAAATATTAAGATTTTTTTAATCTAGTAAATTTATACATGAGAAATAGATTGGGAAAACGGCAGATGTGCTGGATAGTACAAACAAAATTCAAAATTTATCTTGACAAGTTGAATTGGAAAACTAGTCAAAAAATCCAGTCTAATCCTATTTGTTCCTATCAAACAATCCAGTTTGATAGGAACAAATAGGAGGTACTACACGTAACGAAAAAGTGGTAGGGGGATAGTTGGGTAAGTACTAGTTCTTTTGAGATGGTGTCAAATCTAATTGGACATCAGTAGCACGCTGAATTAATAAAAATAATATCATGGGCGGGAACTCCTTTTTCAGATGTGTGCATAAGACTTTTCTTTGATTATTGTGTTGAGTTTATTCTCCACTTTAAAGAATACAACTTTGTCTTTTATAGGCTCTTCGTTACTTCCACATGGCAGAAGAAGGTAAGACCTGTGGCTCATTTTCACTGGAAACTATCTTTAAGGATTGATGACTTCCAGTAAACCTCTAGCTGTCAGTATTACCTTAGTAACTGTAGCCACCAAACCCAAAACAGTATATGATCAGGTGATGAATGTGTTCTGCCAGTCAGCACACTGAGCTGTTACATTGCAACATTTTGTCAATATGTTACACATCTCGTATACATCACTTTCAGTGTAAGGTGAAGACTTTGACAGAGTAAATACTAAAGTGAAATTTATATCTTCCTGAGAATAAAGTACTCTTCCCTAAGGAATTCAACAGGAGTGCAGGGAGGCAGAAGAAATAAAAAAAGGGAATTATGTGTTATTTTTTCAAAATTTTCTTAGAGTTTGAAAGTCCTCTGCATTCTAAATAGAAAACAGAAAAAGAAGAGTTTTTATTATTTCAGAAGGTATTATGCCAATCTGACAGTTAAACTGTACACATGATATAAAATAAAATATGAATGTGTTATTTCTCCAGGAGTGTAGCCATAAGCAAAATTCACTAGCTGAAAGGTAAAGGAAGCCAAGGGAAGACAGTGTTCTATGAAAAAATTTACATAGTTAAATTATTGAAGATCAGAGGAAAGGCTCATAGTGTGTCTTCCTGAGTGTCAGGTTATGCATCTGTGAACTGGAACAGTGAACTTCATCTCAAAATTTGCCTCCAAAATACCTCCATATGTTTTGAAACCTAACCTTAAATCCAGCAGTAGAGAAAGCCTGTGCTGTAAGTATAAACAGCAGGCAACATTAGTCTTTAATAATGAATGATGCTTTATAAAAGCAAGGTTTAAATCTCTCCTTAAAAAATGTTCACCATGGATGCAAATAGTTTTGTTCTCTTCTGTGCAGCGAAAATTAAGCTGATGTCTGTATGTGCTAGAAAAGGTGCCCTATTTTCCCTTGCCTATACATGCTAAGCTAGTTGCATTGCCTGTTGTGCCTACTAGGTCCAGAAAAGCCCAAAACCTGAAAAGCAAAGCTGTTGTGCATTAAGCTCACTGCTTTGCTCTTTGTGAGGAATCTAGTGTCATTTAGTGTATTAACTAGCAAGCTGCTAATTAATATAATTGTTTATGAGAAAAAAAAATCTAGCAAGTGAAAGTTTTACATTTGCTTCCTTCTGATCCAAAGCCAAACCATGTTTTCTAAAACAAGTATCAAAGTAAAGTATAGTATGCTACTAATTCTCATCTAAAGCTTTTCTCCTGTCTCTATGCAGCTGATCCAAATTTCTACAGCAAAAATTTGCTCTTTTTGGGGAAAACATACTTGAAGTTAAACAATAAGAAGATGGCTCTTCTGTGGTTAAGCAAAGCAAAGGAGTATCCTGCTCAGACAGAGGAGGACAAACAGGTAGGAAGTTAAGAACTGTGATGTTATATATCATATAACAATCACAGATTGTATCCAACATGTATGACATCATGGCAGTGGAATGTTTTATAAAATTAACTCAGGGCAACTTACAGTTCAGCACCTTTAACTCAGAATCAAAGGAGTATCCTGCTCAGACAGAGGAGGACAAACAGGTAGGAAGTTAAGAACTGTGATAATATATTATATGATATCATATGTTATATGATATATATATCATATCACATAGATTGTATCCAACATTTATGACATCATGGCAGTGGAATGTTTTGTAACATTAACTCAGGGCAACATACAGGTCAGCACCTTTAACTCAGAACCACATCAACACCAAAATATTGTAGTATGTTACTAGCCACCTCTGGAAATTTTAGTTGGAAATACTGTTTTATTCATAGCAGAGAACTGTTACCCTTCTTCATGGTAGTTCCGTAGTGCCAACTGCGACCCAGCCTTAGCTGTGTTTCTGAAGTTCACACAGGCACCTCCCTAGCCTGTTTCTGTGTGAACACAGAATCACCTTTCATATGCCTGAAATGGGTACGGTAGGATTTACATTTTGGAATAGTTCACAATCATGTGAACACAAGTTAAAAACCCCAGATGTACCAAAACCTTAACACTGCAGTCCTTTCCAGGCCCCTAGGGAGAGATTCAGATGATCTGAGTAAGACAAATTAAGTTGATGTATCTTTGACAGCAAATCTCCAGTGCTAGATGTCGTGAGTCACTTAATTACCCTTTGAAACTGTGCAGAAGGATTCTGGTTTGGAGGGTAGGCACCTGCTTCCTACCTAAACATTCAAAGTACTTTCAAGAGAGGTAATCCATTAGACTTGTTCATACCCAATAATGCATTCAGTATAAACCAGAGCAATTGCAGTCACCTTTCAAAAACATTACTGTTAGCATCAGGACTAACAAAGCCTCATTTCCATTTTATTTTTGTATTGATTGACCTCTATTTCATTTAGCATTAAGCTGAGTTGAGATGCACATTCTGAATGTCCATACAACACTCTGACTGTCCAAAGTAAGAAATACTTTGGTAGGATTTTGCATTTCACACCTCAGAAAAAACACTACCAAGACAGTGTTTCAGAACCCTCTGTAGATTCGCTAATAAGCCTCAAACTGTTTCTTCCAAAAATGAGTTCCTTCAGTAACATCTTTCAGTGGAAATACAAGTCTTACATTCCTCCAATGCCTTGCACAATATTTAGGAATTTAATAGCTGAAAGGAGTAGTGGTCTGAGGTGTGTAAGGAACTGGTCAGTTCTTCTAACAGTTACTAGTAGCTGGAGGCACACATGAAACCAGTGATCCCAAAAACTTGCTTACTTTTTGAATGGTTCTTAAAGCATAGTCAGGAGTGAATTTTGTGCAGTAGCCAAGTTGTTAAACCACTGATCTGCTTCAACTAATTTTGGCCTTCTGGTACAGACGTCTATTTCTTAATCTCTTAGAAGGGTGCAGAGCTGCTGAACTGAGAAAGGCAGCATTCTCTCCATTCTCTGTGTGAATATGTAAAATGCAAAATTCTTTGGGAACTAGACTTAATAGTCCACTATGAAGGAAACTGGCCTGTGCAAAGACATTTGAATTCTTGTCTCAGCATAAGTAGGTTTTCTGAACATTTTTTACTGCAGATACTCAGAGGTATCTGGCTTTTACTGTCTGCATGGCTTGCTACTACTATTGTTGGGTTGGAGGTTTTTTTGTGGTTTGAGCAGGGAGGAGAGGTGTTGAGATTTTTTTGCTGTTCAATTTGTTGTTGGGTCTTTTAATATGAATGTTAGAGATCATGTTAAAATTTTATTAGGTTTTAACCAGAAACCTTAGGCAAACAGAGCCTCAGAAATGGTCTCACTTAATCACTGTCTGGAGTGTTGAAATCCCTAGGTTGGTTGGGTGTGGTCAGAGGTGGGACAACTTCCTGCATGCTCCTATTGGACTGCAGCAAATCAAGAACTAGTACCTGTATTCCCACAAATAAACTTCATTTATGTAGTAAGTGAATGACACTGGCTTAAGTGTTTTATTCCTATTCGTATTTCAAGTATTGAACATCCTAAACTACAGAAGAAAAATTACTCATCCTAGGACTGTTCTGAATTTACACAACGGCAGGGAAATATTTGGGTGCTTGTGAGGGAAATTTTGCTAGAAGAGTCTGTAACTACCTGGGACTGTTACTTTACATTTATTTCTTTCAGGTACAGAAAGAAGCTTTGGAGCTGCTTAATTCTATATAAGAAGAAACAAGATAATGGGAATTCAGTGCCTCAGGTTTGAGCAGCATAGGAAAAAGGCCCCAAATACTACTTCAGTTTACTGAAGCTGTTACTATAAGTACAGCTCAGACCTTCTATCTCCCTCTCATTTCTATTAAAATCTGAACTGGAAGATCTGTTTCATTATGTGATCCTGTCTGTTCCTTTACATGGGAATGAAGGGGGGTTCATTCACAAGCAAGGTCTATAGTTAAGACAGAAAAGGGTGGGGAGTAATAGCCTGGATTTTTAATTAAGTTTTTTATACTTCTAAACTACAAGGTATTTATGAGGAATAATAAGAAACATGACTAGCATAAGTTTCAAGAAAGGAGGGACAGGGTCATGACGTAATTAAAATCCTGCAGTTTTTTCTACAGTGTTTTCTTGTGAAGTTCAATTGGCCTTCAAGAGTAATAGATGCTCCTACAGATTTATCATTAAGGCTGCACCATCTTAATTCCAGTACTCTTAAATGCTAGTGTTTGACTTTGAAGAATGTGTTGTGGTTTAAAATTCAAAAAAATTAAGGAAAAAGCAAGTATGGAACATCTAAGAAAATCCCTTTATGGGTGATATCAGCATGGTCAGTGAGAAGGTTTGTGATGATTTAGTGGCTGTAAATGTTTGCTGGGCACACACACTTTACCCTAGACTGTAACAACAAGGAGGAATACACACTCCCAGTACATTAGAAAGGAACTACCTTGTGGAAGGATATGAACTTCTGTTTGTAGACATAAAAATTTCTTCTTGGTACTTCTACTATGTTGGCAGGAATTTTCACCAGAAATACAAAGTAATCTAAGGTAGGTGTCCAGCCAAACTATATTCCAGTTACCCAAGAGAAAAAGTGGACCAAAGAATGAAGAAATAGTAGGCAATACCAACATGTGGTATTCTCAGTAGAACAGTCTAGAAAAAAAAGACTAGAAAATACCTAGAGTTTGCTTTACTAGGAAAATGTATTGCAATTCTAGGAGGAAGATGAAGAAAATTGCTTGGCTTGGCAACAAAGCCCAAGCTAAGTCAGTAGTAAAAATTCACAGTTGAGAGAGAATCTGGGGCTGGAATTAAAGCTTGATGCCACAAAATAGGATTTAAAACAGGATTTTCTCAACTACCATAAAGCAATTAATATTTTTCTATTAGTAAAGCAACATAATGGAGTCCTCTATGTTACAGGGTCTCAGGGTGGGTGAGAAAGAAAACCTCTCTGAGTGTTTGAGAGAATTTTCTGCATTCATATTCCACAAAAACATCTGCAGTAGCTTCTAGTAGCTTTGTGGCAGAGGCATCTTTACTTAGGTGCCTTTTCTGCTGCAGCACAAAGGAAGAATAGTCAGAGTAATAGCTGTGAAGTGTGTAGTGAAAAGCAGCTGAGTTGCAGGAAGAAAAGAAACAACAAAACCATGAACTACACAACAGCTCCCTCAAGCAGTATTACCTCCCTGGTTCCCTAGTCTGCTCTCCAACCATTGCTGCATTCCTTCTTTTTGCTGTGTTACTCACTCCCCCCAAGTATAGGTGAAGTATGGGAATTTAAGTGGGAAAAGAAAAAATTACAACATAGTCTTCCTGAAATTGCCAGAAAATGCAAGTACTGTACACATATGCACACAGATGTTATTTTACTTTCTTTTCCTCCAGAACCATTCTTTCAGTCAGGCCCTTGACACCAATTCACCTATCCTATACTGGATTTGTTTTTTTTTCACGATTCTAATCCTTACCCCCAGGAAAAACCACTGCAGGTATGAGACAGCTGAAGTTACCAAAACAATAAAACAACTACATTCTTGTGGTGTGCTGTCTTTTTTATTTCGTTCAGTTACTCACAGAATCACAAAATTCAGCAGTTGGTAGTGGGTCACCAAGTCATTCATTAGTGCAAATTCATTAACTGTGACATTTAGCCCTCCTTGTCTTTTAGGCAAGTGACACACACACTCCTGGTGCCTGGCCTTTGACCTTCTTGGTTTCTTTTCTTAAAATTCCTCCATTCTAACAGCATAAGTGATAATTTATGTGGATTTGCACTTCAAATTAATTTAGTGCTATATAAAAATGATTTTGCAAAAGATATTTGGTGGTGTATGAAAAACCCTCAAAGTGGTGGAAATTTTTGAAGCTCTTACAGAAAAGCTCATGTAAGACAGCAGTCTGTTTGAGCCCACTGCACCACTGCTGTGACCAGAGCTCTGTACAGCTACAGCTCCAGGGTGTAAGCTGTGCATATTGAATACAACGCCTTGAGACAATCCAATATGTAGAAAAATAAACTTTTGGCAGAATTCAGCTGCTGCATTGGAAAGATACATGAACAGATATAGCTGTTTTTTTCTGCATGTACACTTTTAACAGTGCAATATGATATGTTAACACAAGTGTGTTGAATCGTATTCTAAAATTATTTTCATGTGTGTACAAAATTCTGTGTAATTTAAATGTAATGGAATTTACAGGTAATATTTAAAGCATATTACAAATGGTGATTTAAAACACAATTTTTACTCTACAATAAGGAAGCACAGTTTGCTAAAGGTAGCATTTAATATAATTCACATGAGTAAGGTGTTAAATTTTAGTATTTTTTTAAACGTGTTTGCAGTTCAGCAAATATATGCCAATAAAATGCCAATAAAACTAATTTTAAAATGTTTTTATATTATTGTGCACTTAGGACAAACCTGATCTACATAAAAGGATGACAGGTTTTAGATGTACTTTATTCAAATACATCTAAATTTCAGTAAGAATTTTAGAGAAATGAGAGTATTTAATACTAAATAATATTTTTATTGGTGCAAAGCTTAAGTAACTTTCATTTTATTTGAGTTTACTAGATCCAGTATCTGAAACTGAACAAGAACACAGAAAGCAGCAAAATTCACATTACCTTTTGTATACCCTTATAGCTCAGTTTACATTAATATAACTCTACAAAGTTATAAAAAGGACATCACAGATTGAAAAGGGAAACCAAACAAAACAAAACCAAATTAAAAAAAAAAAACCTGCAAGACACCAGACCAAGAAGAGAATTTGGGTAATATTTTCTCTTTTATTATTTTTTCTTTGAAGATTACCTAACATCCTCGTGGTAATAACCCAAGGTACTATGTAAACAAATTTCAATGCTGCTCAAATGAATTAAAATACTCTGTTCAGCTCCTGCAGTAAGTCAGAACAGTGGCACCAATTCCTTTCAACATTAAATCACATTCATCTCATTGTACATGACTTGTGCAAGTAGTAAAGGCTTTATTCATGACCTTGGCTACATCAGTAGAGAGGGATATATCAGCTATTTATGTATTTAAAAAAATTAAACTGACAGAAGAACAGATTCTGTCGTCTCAAATACCAGCAGCATCTTTCTACATATTTAGGATACGTTTGGCCTAAGCCTTTAACACCTTTTAGAACAGCCATGCAGTAAAACAAACTTGGAGATGTTTCTTTAGAGAACACTGAGCAGTTTAAACATTTTTTGAATGATAAAGCCAAGATAAAGCAAATCCAGGCCCTTTTGAATGGCTGCAACTTTTCATACACTTAAAGCTCTATAAAACTAGAGCCCATTAGTATATATATTTATATTTTTATATATATATATTTTAAATAAGTCTCTTGTCTGCTTTCAAAATTTATGGAGGGGTTTTTCTGGTCTTTTGAAAGGGCAATAAATAAAAGTAGAAAAGGCTGAACTGTTTTGCATATATTTGTGGAAGAACGGAGAACAATTAAACTTTTAGAGTTCCAGAAAGATCACTGTACAGAACAAAAGCTTATATACAATTAAGTGTGCAATTTTAGTTGGCTGGGCCTTTTATTATTCAAGATATCCTTTTTGACTAGAAGTCACTTCTACTCTTGTCCAAATCCCTCCGTTTCTTCAATGGCAAAGAGCAACTTCTCTTTTAGTTGTTCATAGCTTTTGTACGGTGGCAAATCCAAACGATTAAAACTGAGCAGGAAAAAACAGAATTTTGTTAAGTTTACTTAAATCCCATGTAGAACTCTACAGAATTCCATTGTTATACTAGAAGTTATAAATGTTCTGATCTAACAATTAGAAAAAAAAGAAATATCAATCAGCACAATCTCATTGCCTTGGCATTTCTACAAGAAGGAAAAACAGTCAAAGTTTCAGAGGAATATTTTAGGAAACAAAAAACTATTACCAGATAAAAAACCAGAATGGTGAAAGACTAAAGACTGTCCAAGATACAGGGAACTATAATACTTCAAAAGAATATAATATAAAAACAGGACACAATAATATTTGCTTATAATAGTAATACATAGAAAAGAAAAATTTCAGCATGAAGTTTAATATAATCCTACTTTGATGCATCTCCAAATTTCAACAGCAGCATGAAAAAGCTGAACTTTTCTCCTTCCTACACATGCTTGGAATATAGGTGGGTGTTTTTTCCCTCTAAACTTTGCCCTAAAAGACTTCTGCCAAAACATTTCATTCCATGTCTTCCTCAAAATTATCCTAGACAAGATATATAAACTCTTGCAAACAGCACTCAAACAAACTCCAGCAGAGAAAATGTAAAATAGAGGATACCCTTAAGTAGTTTAAAAGTACGATGAATATTATTGTCACAGGTTGCCAAAGGAAAGTGTGTCCATTTTGCAGTCTATATAAAAAACTGATCTGTGTACCTTATGCACCAGCTCAGTATGCACAGGAATGCCAAGCCAATAATGGCCCATCTGAAGCCTGGTGGGAAAAAGTATCAGCATTCTTGGCTAAGCATCCTTCTTCTGAAGGTTTGCTGTCATTTCTGTCATGCTACTTCTTCTCATTTTATCTTTATACTTTTATATTTTATAATGTTACTGCATAATAACTATGTGCCTACTAATCACATGACTTGTTCAGTTATTTAATATTCTCTAAAATAATTAGGAAAACACCTTTCAGTTCTACGCAAGGATGTTCTTATAATTTTGATACATCTTACATTGACAAACTGTTCAGCACAGTTGCAAAATTTAAGAAGAGGGCAACTAGGAAAGTTTTCAATACTGGCATGTCAGGGCAATCAAATGAAGTTGAAGATAGAGACAGAGAATTGATCCAAATTAAATTTCATTTGATTTGGCCCATGCAAGCCTGGAAGAGA